AGATTTTTTTTAGATTCCAAAGACGTAACTCCGAAGGCATGCTCTTTTAATAGGTAGACAACGTGACGTATATTACATGTGACTGTTGCGTCAGGTAGACATGAACAGTTGAATCGTAAAATCGGATCGAGTATCACAAGTGTCTAAAGACAGTATTCACAATTTGATCGGAAACTTTTACATTGAAATAAGTATACGAATTGTAATTAATAGTTGTTTAAATAGTTCTAAATAAATATTTAAAAACACATTTATTTGGTACAAGAATCATTAATTTAATTATTTTTATTAAATAAATATTTATTTATTTTAAGTAAATGTTTACTTAATGCTTAAAAAATATATATTAAGATTTACATAGTAATTTTTTCAATATATCAATAAGTTTGATTTCAGAGAATCTGGAAATAATATATTCAGCAAATCACATAAAAAGAATTATATATATAGAAAAAGATAAATAATAAATTAAATTGAGATTAAAATGCTATATAATCGTTTTATATTGATTAAAGTCATTATCTTATATAATGACTTTAATCAATATAAAACGATTATATAGCATTTTGACATCCTTAGATCTGTTTTTTACAGCTGAACTAGTGTGTACTTTCTGAAATAAGTGTACATTTAAAGTGAAATAGATATATGTTTGAAATTTGATCAAAATGAAAAGGCAAGTTTTCTAGTGCTGTTTTAATGCAAAAACAAAAAACAAATTTCTTAACCCTCTATCTGTAGTCTACTTTTTTAAGCACACCGCACAAACGAAATTTCATTCTCTAAAATAGCAATTGTTAAAAATGACGGAGTAAATAAAAGTTTTAATATTTGAGTTAAAAAACTATTTGATAATGACAGAAATGTTGGAAAATAATCCTGAATTTTTCTACATTTTTTGAAAATCTAGAATAGTAAAAAAACTAAAAAAGTCTAAATATATTGCAAGGTAGGAAGTAAAAAATGATTGCAGATGGATGATCAAAACGATCTTAAATATAATCGAATACTGAATATTGTCATAAAATCAGAACAGCGCGACAGCGAGGTGTTCCTTTCATCAGAGGTGTTGCATCCAGCACAACGAAATCGTGGAACAACGATATAATTATGATGTTCGAAGGCTCAATTACCCAAACGCACAAGATTCCATATATCTGTTGTACAGCCCTGAGTTGTACAATGTATATGCTCACCTCATATCGAGCGCACAACTTATGGAGAAGTTTCTGCTATCGGTAATGCTAGCAACGGCAAAACACGGACTGCCCTCGCTCTTCCCGCACGCATTAGCGATCGCGAGACACGTTCTCCCTAGTAGTCGTAATTTTCCGCGATATGGCATCTTTTAACGCGTAATTGATAGGGAAAGTGGGAGAGATATGCGAGCAGAGAACGAGACAGGGAGCAAAAAGAGCTAATCGGTCAATGAAAGTCAAAAGCAACCGAGAGACACGAACACCGTGAAAGACGAGACGCAACTGAGAAATGAGAACTGAGGCCACATAGGCCGTCAGGCCACGCTCTCAGTTTTCGCGAGTGTCATGCACGCCTGTCACGCGGCATGTTAGAGATCCAACCACGTGATCTCCTGATAAAAAAAAAAGAAAAAAAGACTGATTTACGCAATATTTTAGACATATTGATGGAAAAGAAAAAAAAAAGAGAAACGTAGAGAATTATTGAAGGTTCGCTAAATAAGAACGCTCGCGAACTGATGAATATGACGTTGCAAAATATATGTAATCTTATCATTTTAAAGCGACAAATAAATAGCTCCAACATTGGCGATAAAAAACGTTAGAACCGTTTATATTGTCATCAATTTTGCATCTAATTAAATACGTGAACTTTATTGTAATAGGAGAAAGGAGCGAGAAATTGCGAAGAAAAAATTTGTGTTTTCCATAATCAATATTTTTTGTTATGTATATGTATATAATATTAAACTAATATAATAATAATAATATAAATATTTAATATTTTGTTTACTAAAATCACAATCGATAAACATGGATATGTATGATAATCTAAAACACTATCTATAAATATTTATACAGAATATTTTATGATACATCCAGAAGAATAGACAGTAGCATTGATTACGTAATAAATATAATTAATATTTAAGTAAAAGAGAATGCGGTCTGTTTTAGCATCATCTTTAATATCATTTTTAATATTCAATCAAAAGTTTACAATGTAGTAATTAACAATTAGATAATGATTAAGGTAATGGTTTTCTCCGAGTGATTCTGAATTCTTCGCGATTGTGATATGGTTCGTACGGATCGTCAATATAATAGTGCCGCCTCTTCCAGTACTTAGATACCATCTTGTCCAGAAGCGTCGACTGTGTGGCATTACAGAACACATGTCTCCTCAGCCTCTTCTTTCTGGCAAACGATTTTGTCCATAGCTTATTGTGTCGACCTGTTCTTGTTCTGATCCAGATACCCCTGCAACATTTTATTTTATATCTCTTGAAATTTTGAGTTTCTACAAATGGCTGATATTCGTTCTTGAAGCCCAGTTTCACAATTCACAGTTTACTCTTAACCTCTTAATCTTAGAATTGGAAAAAGATAGAGAATTTTAAAATTGAAAAGAGAAATAAATTGAACCTCGGTTAAAAATTAACCGAGTAAGTTGTGAAATTGGACTTAAGTATTCAAAACCATCTTAAATCATAATCTTAGTATATACAATTATTTTCCAATTCTTTATTACACATGATGAGTCATTTGTATTTCAGATTATTTTTCATCATCTTAATAAATATAGAAAAATTATGAAGTGATCCTTCCATATATTTTAACATCTTTCGAAAGTATCAATATCAGACTACTCTTCGCTCTGATAAAGTGAATTATGATGACGTTTATAAAATGTTGGCATTCCAAAAGAGGATAGCTTCTATAGAAATCCTCATTGTGGAATCAAAAAGTATTATCTTTAGATTTGTATATTTGTATAATGATAAGATTGTGTATATTTAAAGAAATTGTATACGAATATTTAACTAATTACCTGATGTGATCTTAGTTTTTTAAAAAAAGAAATGTTCAAGACATGATTCAATCAATAATGTATACTAAAGGTTAAAATGCTAATGTGGTTTATTATGTTTTAAAACTTAAACATCTTAAGACGATACTTAAAACGATCTCAAATATAAGTATCAACCAATATGATTGTTTAGAAATATTTGATGCAATCTATAATTTTTGATATTGTTATGTACTTAATATATTCTTGAAATATTACCAGTGCAATCGGTAGAAACGTGTTAGGACTGTCTTCACAGTCTGCCGCTTTCCTTTTGACATAGTAAACTTGATTACAGTTCTTACTGGAATATTAATAGGTTCTGCTGGCAAAGCTAGATTTTCTGTTGTCACATGGCTGAAAAGATAATATTACTTTCACATAGCAACTTAGTATCTTAGTATCTTACATAAAAATCAACACGTTTCACAAATCACTTCTGCAATATTCTACATTACTTTAGTAGTGTTTTATGTTGCGTAGGTCCGACAGCTGCCCATTTCTGGACAGCAATTGATAATGCTCCAAACTCTCTGTATTGTATGGAATTCAAAACGGAATTACATTTTGAAGTAATGCAATTTGTCGCATTTATACTCGTTGTCCTTGTTCCGATTCCTGAAAGAACACTAAATCCAGTATGTGTGCTTGCAAGATAAATCACAAAACCAACGAAAAATGTCTTATATTTTAAATGTACACTATTGTCAGAAAATTTTGAACCAATGTGATGTAATCTTAAAATACATAATTTATGGTAAAATTATAAAACAAATAATGCAATCTAGTAATTGTGTTTTTTATTTAATGATACCTTCAGGGCCATATTACGCTATTGAAAAATAAAATTGGACTTGCGGATATTTTAAAAAATAAATAAAAAGAACATAAAATTAAGTCTTTAAAACGCTTGGTCTTAAACTTTCTGACATAGTGTATGTGATAAAATTTAATTATGCTTGAGTGTTTAACATGTATGTACAAATAGAATGTTAAACTCCAATAAATACTAATTAAAAGTAATATAAATCAATGTTATGATTTCACATTTGATGATAGTTACATTCAGCAGAAAAAATAGCTTTACAATTATTGTAAAATTCTTTAATATGATTTGAAATGTATTTATTAGGTTTAAATGCATGAACTTTATAAATTTATTTGCTAGGCTGGAATCTATAAATTTTATATATTTAAATCCAGTGAGGACGAAACCAATCACACTAAAGAATTTTACAAAAGTTACAAAGCTATTTTCTCTGCTAAATATAGTTAATGTAACTGTTATTGAACATACATGTATTATATTACATTTATATTGTTCAATATGATTATAACATTGATGTTATGCTACTTTTAGATGGTGTTCACTGGGAGTTGTTTCGTAGATTGATTTTTTCGAATTGAAACATACAAATTATATGGGAATTGTTCAGTATGATTATAATATTGATGTTATGCTACTTTTAGATGGTGTTTACTGGGAATTGTTTCGTAGATTGATTTTTTTCGAATTGATCAGATTATATGGGAATTTTTGCGTATTGATCTACACTGAATTAAAAAAAGAATTAATTAAATATGATAATGCTACGAATAAAAAATGCCCAAAGAAGATGTAGATCTCGACGTTCGTGCGAGACGAGAATCCTCAAGTGGACGTTCAAACACGCGCCGGCGTCCTGATTCCGCAGCGTTCCTTCCGCCAGCCGCGTGTCATGGTGACCGCGGCGAGACGAACCTAACCTTCTTACGTCTCGCATCCCGTTGTTCGCGACGCAACCAGACGTGAAATCGCTGGTGTACCATGATGCAGCGCACGGCCGACGCGTGATAACACCTCGCGACGTGGTCGTCGATCGCAGGATCGGCTGCAGACTACGTTTATACCCACCTCGCAGCGCCGCGCTCACGGCACGCAACATTCTTCTTTTCGCGCAGTCTGGTCCGTCCGGTCTGGTCCGGTCTCCGTCCAGCTGTTCTCCCTGTGCCGTCGTTCCCCTTTTTCCGTTGGCTGCCTGACCATTCGGAACTCGAAAGATGTTCCGAATTGGATTAAAATTTCCTTACAACGGTCTGAATCGGGTACGTAATCACGTGCGAGAGGACCGCAGATGGGCGAGACGCGATCGTCCGGGTAAAACCATCCGTGTTAAAATACCGCGAGGAATCGTCGCGCAGCGACCGCATGATGACACGACGGCGTGACATCTTGTCTTCACGACAGTGTCGCGCGACGATCCCGCGCCAACCGACTCCACCGCCGTCGGCTATCGCGCGTTCATCGATGGTCGACGACGAGCGTCATGTAGGATTAGCTACAATAACGGCAATCCCGGGGATCCGCTTTCGTGAACGTCCGACCGCGGCCAACGTTTCCCGGCTCGCACGTCACAACACAAAGATGGCTTGTTTTCAAGAAGGCTTACATAATTCCAAAAGCTTTGATCTCAACATCGTTTACCCTTTCAGGTAAAAAAACACGGCTCCTCCAGGCCACATCTAACCGCCAGGTACTACGAATCGCGGGCGCGCATCAAGTACGAGCCAGATGGAAGGTGAGCTCTTCAACAGAAGTTTAAGTCTGGACAGGTATCATTGCTTGTTAGACCTGTCATTATTCAGTGGAGATCTCGTGAAGTGCTCGTGCTTTGTAAATCTCAAAACGCGAATGACACTATGTTATTTACGAGCAATTTGATGAAATCGGAACGTGGTAAGGTTATGTCCATGCATATGTTTTTCTTAAATAAAGACTGATGAGTAATCTTATGAATGGCATCTGTCATATTCATGATTCTATCACCACTGTATTTGACAGGTTTGTTGAGTCATTTTGACAAGTTTGTTGGGTTGTTACTTGATACAAGAGTTGTCAACCTTTGAACAATATAATTTTATTCAAAAGGTTTATTCTTTTTAGTTGAACTCTTTTACAATTTATCTTTCCTCATTTTCTGTCCATATTAAAGAAAGAAAAAAAATTAACATACAAAAAGTTTATCTAAGAACAGGCTTAATAATTTTCTGATATATGGATTGTGTATCTGTATGTATATCTGTATCTGTATGTTATGTCGCAGTCAAAGGTGTGTTCTGACTTCCATCTGGGTGCTTCTCGGATGTCATATCATTCTCGTTTGACATTTGTTAAACAATCTGGAGACACAATAGTATCTCGACGCTAAAACATAGCGCGAGACATAAGGATGACATGATACCTGAAGAACACCCAGATGGAAATCCGAACATGTCCCAAAGTGTTAACTTTAGTAAATGTATATACTAGTCAATGTATCTAACTACAACAGACTATAGTAAGTTTATATACATTTACTGAGTTAATGTTTTGATTGTAATATATACACAAAAATATAGATTTTTATATTTTTTTAGACTTTGCAGGGATGTCAGATTTATATCCAGGTTTACTGGGCCGAGGTATTCGACCGCACCAAAAAGGTATATACAGAACATGAATTATAATATTTAGCATATTATTTTTTAAATTAATGTATATATTTCTGTTACCTTTCTATGATCTTATATATATATGCTAACTATTCGTATAAATTTGTTCATATTACGACAGAAAAATAAAGTCATCAATTTAATCACTAAATTTATTTTAATTACTTGCGTTTCTCATAACAGCATCAAAAGTCAGGGATCAGGAATACTGATAACTCTAGGCGCTGTAACAATAGGTACCTTAGGAATATTAACATATGCAAAAGGAAATCCAAAGGTTCGAGCTGTCCTCGAAGGATGGATTCCTGGTACAGATGAAATTATCCGAGTTATCTTTCAAGAAGATAAGAATTCCAACTATTTTGACTTTGTATTTACGTTCTTCGAAACGATGAAGCAGACGTAAGAAAATAAAAATTATGTATAATATTAATAATTATCATATTAATTACTTCATTGAAATAGGAATATTTTTTTACAGAATATTAGGCATGTTCATCAAAGAAGCATCAGAATCAGGTCAGACAAGACATAAGTACACAAAAATTGTAGAATATATACGTGAGTCCTTAACTCCTGTCCATGCCTTATTTTTTCCTGGTACTTTCTCTTCTAGCCTTCTTTCATCTAATTCCTTTTTTCGATTCTTTTTAGAATTACATACTTAATAAATAATGTTCCCACTAACTTTTAACAATTGCATGTATATATTATAGCGCCCAAGCCAGCTTTTAAACCACTGGTCGATCACAAAGAAGCTTCTATTAACAAGAATCAAACCGAAATTCGTATTAGTAAAGATAAGGGCGAAAAAGTCGATGTTGGTACGTTTGCATTATTTTTTGTTTTACAAAATTTAAGTGGAAGATAATTAAATAATTCATACTTTTATAGTGACTGAGAAACCAGCGTCGCCTGTCAAAACTGTGCGCGATGAATCAATACCACAAAATCTCATCGAGTTAGAAACATACTGTGGAGAAGCTGCTGGTAAAGCTATTGCGGCCTATCAAAAGGCAGTGTATGCGCTTCAAGAATACAATCAGAATGTTACCAAAGTGATTGAAAGTGCTGGCACTACAGTAAACGGAGTCGTCTGGCAAAGGTAATCATCGCTGTATGCTTACATAATCGTTTTACTTCACTTGTATATCGATTATATAATCAAATTTGTCACGTTTGCAGATTAAAAGAGGCAACAGAAAAGAGAAAACAGACTGTACAGCAAGCAGAAGAACACGCGAAAGATGCATTAGATTCGCTTAAGCGTATGTACAATTCAATCGATGAACCTGTACTTGAAGCGGCCGCTCACATGAAAACGGCTGCGAAGCGAAATATTAGAAAAATTATGGATGATGTGGACGAAGCTAAGAAAAAATACATCGATGAATTACAGAGTAGTAACATCGCGGAGCGCTATTGGAAGCAGGTTCAAGCAGCACGAGAGACTTTCAATGAAGAATTGCATATTCTGTTTCCCAATATAAATATTCATGATAAGAAGTTGTCTGTTAGCGAAGAAGCCTTCGATTTATTCGTCTTGCATATGTATCACAAAGTCAACAATCTGCAAAAAGAGCTGGCGAAATTAAGAGTGAGTTTTTAGCATCATTTAATGTAAATATTCTCTAAATTTATATTTCCGAAATGCTTTCATGCGAAACCACGCGATTTTTGCATGGAGTTAATATTTTAATATTGCGTTAAAAACAGTATTTTCAAAGAGAAATTATTTAATTACAGACAGTCAACGAAACTAAAGTGAAAGCGGCACTGAAGACAGCGGGTGAAGACTCAACTCAAGAAAAATTAGACGCTCTGGTCAGCCTCGAAGTTAATCGAGAGAGACTTGAGTTAGAAAATAAGCAAGCAAAAGAGGTAAGAAATGTGTTTAATATATTTTTAGTTTGAAATATTGTAACTTGAAATATTTTAACTTGAAATATTTTAATATATTATTAACTTGAAAATCGCGAGCACAGAAAAATATTTTATCTACAGAAAATTAATTTTAAATTTCTCAGAATGACGTACAAAATTTTAATATATGTTAATCATATCTAATTTGCGAAAGTAATTTGCGATCTTATCCCATGTAGTATGCTGTTGTATTATGTCTTCGTTCTGCTGTAGAGAGGTGTTAATTCTGTAATGCGCATATACATGTTTGTAACGAGAGAAGCAATATATCCGAGCACGATTCAGATAGCTTCAAAGCGCCTTGTTTGGCGTGTAAATCGTACACTGGCCGGTGTTGCATGCTTTTACGTGCTCACCATCTCTGTTCTCTTGGTATACAAATACAAATAGATGTGAGCTTTAGCGCCATTATTAATGTTGCCCTAGCATTTAGACGACTTTGCATGGCCACGCGTTCGCGCGTGAAATCTAGTCATTACAGTGCGGATATATTCGCGCGAATTAAAGAGAGATGGCGTAAAAGATTCTTTTATTAAATCCGCGATGATAAGTGTGAAGTGCAAAAAATTTCTGAGATTTCTAAGAAAATGTATTTCTCGATGAAAGGGAAAAATGACGGGAAAAGAGAAGAGGCAGTTAAAAACCGAGCGATGAAAATGGTGGTGCTTAAGTTGTAAAGCGGACGAATAGAGAGATCATGATGATAAAATGGGCCTTCATATTAAAGCGTTGGAAAATAACGGAAGAAGAAAGAAACAACGGTTCACTTTAATCATAGCCGCTTTATTACATTTCAAGATCTCTCAGCTGAATAGCTCATATAAAATAATATTCGATCGTTGCTTCATAAGCAGTTTATAAGATTTTATCGCGTTTTTCAACTTTAATAATCCTTTATAAAATATATTCTTTTTCTTATATTCAATAAGAACGTACTAACTTCGTGAGTCAAATTGAAATCGAATCGCTTTCCACATTGAGTTGTATGTTGTATTCAGATCGGGGCACAGGTGCATCGGTGTTTTGTTCATATCTGACGAATTTAAAGCAATGTGGCACCGTGTGTAACGTCACATACGTGATACACCGAATGTGTCGCGTCAGAGGATGGTCTCGGCAGTACTAGTCCCTCATGGTCCTTTTATTTATTTCCATTTGGCCAAACGCCAATATTTCGACAGCAACGGGCGATATTAGTCCCTTAGAGTATACGACGTTTGTATGCTACCAGAGGTATTCGCTGAGGAACCATTGTGACTCACTGTCCTCATAGTTGTTCGACAGCTCTTTTTCGAGCTCCCTTCTTTATATCCTCGTCGGTCTCTAGTTACCGTCGAGGACGCACCGTCGAATATAAATCTTGTCGAATCGATCCACGCGGACTTGCACGATCTTTTGTTCTCGTTTCGAACGGGAACAGCGGTGTTCTCTAATTGCTATTTGTCTACGAGCTTCCGGTACCGCTCGTTAACATCCGGTCGAATATTTTATCGTAAATGCATCACGGATAGGCGGCCGTATCGTCAACCGATCTTCCTGCGTCATCCATTAAATTACATATATATATATATATATATGAGAAAGATAACGGAATTAATTAAATGGTAATCGTTGCATAATTTGTTCATAAGTTGCCGTTAACAAATGATCATTCGTTCCGCTACAATCGATGCGTACTATCGAGGCAAATGCAATGAAAATATGTCATTGTCGTCACGAACTTTGCATTTGCACTGCATTTTGTCGCGTAAAGAGGAATCCTCTCTTGCATCATTTAATTAATGTAGTTTCGCCTTGGAAAAACAACTCGCCGACTTCGTCAATGCGAACGACTCTGAATGTTTTCCTTCTAACGTCACGAAAGCAAACAGCAAATTCACACTGCAAATCATCAGTAAAATGAAATCGATATCAGAAAGGGCACAGGTCAAAATTTTCGAATGAGTTAATTAGTTTTTCTTTCATTTATATATTTGAATTTTGATCATGTTAGCGTTGTAGAAAAACATTCTAAATAGAAATGAGTACTTCATCATTGCACAATCAGAAAGTTATCAGTTTTTTTTTAGAAAATATATTTTTATTAAAAACTATTCATTTATATACACACACATCATCAAATATAATTGAAACAATTTAAGTAAAAATTGTTTTTTTAAATTTTATCTTCTAGAAATATATAAATATACAGTTGTTCTATTTTATATATTGTATTATATAGACACACACAACATTTTACCATAGATCTATTTCTGTAAATTCTATATTTAATAATAATTCTTTAGATTTCGTAACTGTTGAATCTGAAGAATTATTGTTAAAAAATATATTGTTATAAATATTTTCTAAACTCTTGACCTTGAGTATAGATGTATTTGTATATGTGTAAACATACTTTATTACAGTTACTTAAATGTATTTTTTTTTCTATGACAGTGTATTTTTTTCACGATAAGAATCTTCAGATTTAATAATAATTATTGAATCTAAAGAATTATATAAAAAAAATAGATTATTATGATATATGTATAGACATTTTTTAACTATATATAAATAATCCCAAAAATATCCATTAAAAAAAAAATTTCAAACTTTTGACCTGGAGTGTATCTATATTGAATGAATATAAAATAAATTAATTGAAATTGCCGTCAATTAAATAAATATTTTATTGTTTCGTATATTTGCAACGAGGAAATAAAATTTTCCGTAAAGCCAAAGTAGGGATACGAAAGATCGTAGAGAGCTTGAAAAATTCATAGTTTCTTATCTGCCTTCGCCATTTGGGATTTCAGTCTGTGGCCCGGTCATGAGATATCTTTATGGCGGTACACCTGGAAGTTATTTACCACGACGGACGTGAATTATCGATGAAACTTTTTGTCGCGATTTGTTTTATCCCGTCCGCGTGCATGGGCAAAGCTTACCTTACCATCGCCTAGAAACAAAATGCGATCCATGAATCTCATACCATTTTCTAACATAGCTTTCGCATCACCGTGCAATATTTACCAAAGTATCACCAATAATTTTAGCGTCTCCCTACGCGAACAAACACCATCGTGCGATTAAAATTCACGATCTTCCGTTTGTAATCTGGATCTTTTCTAGTACAAGCGAAATTTAACTCTCAAATTTCTTTGAAATAAAAGAAGACATTCCTTATTATTATATACTTTTAAACAAATTTCCATTTTTTCATTTCTGCTTAAATTTCATTTTTTATTAAGTAAATAAAGTTTTTAAGAAATATTTAAATTAAAGAATTATTTTATAATGTAACAGAGATGTTGAAAGGTAACTTTGAATTTTCACATTTTATGAAAGTTTAAGAAGATTCTCGCGTTTGATGAAATATAGACAAGTCTATCATATGATATATGTAAAACAAACGTTAATAATATCAATAATAGAAAAAAATTTCATTAACTTTTATCATTTTAAAGATATAATTGAAAGTATAAGCTTATTCTGTAATTATTCTCTTTTAAATTGAAACACTTGCATATAAGACAGCAATTAAAAAATTGTTATAATTATAAAATAAACTTAAATTTGTTCTCGTAAAGTTTCATTTAAACTGACCGTAAGTTACAAAAAAATTTAAAAAAAGCTAGAATATATGTCAAATGTATGATGCGTATATATCAAATGAGCATTTTACAACTTTTATTTTATCATTTTGAAAATATTTAATAACATATAAAATTAACAATAATGTATAATGGCATAAGATATTGTTAATAATTTTTTTATTCTAATTTTTTATTTTAATTGTATTACGTACTATTATGAATAAAATGTCTATTTATTAAGAAGTATCGCGAGAATTTCTTTAAAACAGTAAAAAATTTATGCTGGAGACAAAAGAGAGATTGCATGGATGATTAACAGAAATGTTTGAAGTTCATAAATTCCATAAATAATAAGTGGAAATTTGTGAAAATCTCATGCTTCTTTCCACATGGAGTTTATATTTTTCTTAAAATAAATATACTAATAGATATTCACAAGCTACAGAAAAGTCTCTAACATTACTTCCTTTAATTTAATTGCTTCCTTTAATTTCAATTTGAATTTCTTTTTCTTTTTCTGTCTTTAATGAGCACACGAGTTTTATAGTTTCGAGAGTCGTTTGACTGCACTCTTCGGGTGCAAAGTGATGCACTTGTTCTCCAGAAACGATCTTCAGCGCACGTGCACGATACGTTCATGGTACTCGTATATCCGCTTTTACGACGGAAGTGCCTGCCGATAGAAAAAATATTACTTGATGTGTATAGGACGCTAACAAACCGTGCAAAAAAACGGACATTTGAGCGTTCTTTTCCGTAAGTGTCTTGCAAATTGAGAAATTCTCAAGTTAACGCCAATATGATTGTACGTGTACCGATCGCATAGTACCATCCGCAAATGTTTTCCCTCCCAATCCGAAGATTGATTCCCTTTTTCTGTCGCCTTTTCCCATAAATTGTAGATAGCTCTCTTATTTTTCATCAAGATTCTAGAATAATTTAAAGACGGCATCGTCGGTGTTCTGAATTTTCATTGAGTCTTTAATTGAATAATATGGAGTATCTAGAGACGTTCGTTCTTTACTTTAACGAACAAATACTTCGAGAATTTTTTTATTTAAGGAAGATGTTGCGATAAGATCTATTGGAAATTTTCAATTTAATGTTAAATTTATGGTAATCAAATCACGAATTGAAATTCTGATGAAAAAGTAAAAGTTCGATTAGACATGAACAATAAGATTATTTTTTCTCGTTTAATTGCATGTCACAAAAGTTTAATGAAAAGCCTTTCATTTCCGATAAGAAATTATTGATTGGAGAACTATCGCACTTTCAAAATTGCTAGTTGACATTTGACATTTTATTTGAACAGAAGTTGAATAGAGAGATCAAACGATTCACGTCGCAAAAGAAGAATATTTTCATTGGCGTGTCAGAAAAGTTGACAGAATCATTGTCGTAAAGTCTAATCTATTTTGTAACTCGAGAATATGCACGAGCCTTTTCTCATATGTATTATTTGTTATCAACGCAAAACGAAGGTATGGAAGATATGTGATGAAAATGATCTGTTCTCCAGAGAATTTTTATAGATTTTAAAAAGAGATGCGAATATAATTCTTTCGCTTCGCCAAAGTTATATTGAGATTTATGATGCGCGTAACTAAAAATCCTTTATATAACCAAAAAATTCTCTTTACTTTTAAATACGCGAGAAGAAAAAAATCAACCTTGATTTCGTTTAATTGACATGAAAAGAAGAGCATTGCTGGTTTTTCTGCCGATCATCGCGGACGCGAATTGCGCGAATTTCTATGGTATCTAGAAAGAGCTTCGAGTTTTTCCGGAAAACTTTCGATTGGTCGACCAAGTCGAAAAGACGTGATCCGCGCGAGTTAATAGCCTCAAATCAGTTTTCCTTTCTTTCGAGGAGGATCTCGCCGCATCCGTCGTTCGATGCTTACGTAGATTGCTATACAAATCGTCGTCATTAAATTAGTTACACGTAAGGAAAAACTATTGCGATTTCGTTCGTATCTTCACGAGAAATAAACGCGAGAACCGAGCGAAATTTGTTAGTGTCAGCATTCGAGAGCAAAGGAAAAAGAGAAAGATAAACGTTATTCACAGAGAGACACAATAAATAACTGTATTACTTAAAGATTTGGCTGTGCAATATTAGCTAAAAGTATCAGTCGAATAATCGGCCAATATCAATTAAAAAAGTTTGATGATATTAGCTCGCGAATACGCCTTAAAATTAACTGCAAAAAATAAAATAACAAATAGATTAGTTTATAATGATTTTATACAGTAAAATTATATAATATTTTTCTGCAAGTTAATAACTTTTAAATGAGTCGATTGTTCCATCTGTGGATGAATTATGTAATTTACCTAATGGATAAATAAAAGAGTAAGAGAGTAAGAGAATTAGAGAAAATGGAAATTTTTTTATGGCAAAGTAGAACAACTTCGCCTATGTGAATCTAAATAAACTTTAGCACGAATATTTATTGTTTGATCAGTAGATGTATAAAATTTGATTCTTGATGAATTTCTTATGAAATTTGCAAATAAATATTATAAAACACGATAAGAATCAAGAGAAAGAAAAAAAAACTTTTAAATTGATAAGGAAATTGTATTCAAATTTTACACAAATATTTAGTAATAATAGAACAATCTATTAAATTTTGATATATTTTTGGTATTATTTTCTGATACATCCTTAACTACTGATGAAAGTGTCTTTTTGCAATTAAATCATAAGAGAAATATGCGAATATCATTAAATATTATTTTATTTTATATACAGACACTCGATTAAATAATGCATATATAATAACAATTTTTTTTCTAAAAATAGAGAGAAAAATGATCGGAATAATTAAAACAATAATTACGACAAAATAAATATTATAATTCCATAATTGACGATACAGAGCAGAAACATCTGTCGCAGTATTTGTTACAAGCAGAACAATTTTCGCGTGACTTCGCGTGAATATAAACGGCTCGCGTTTTTCCTCTACCGTATTTAATTAATCCGGCTTGGCGCAATTGCGGCATGCGACCGGTGTTAGTGAAATGTTTTGGATTTGCCGAAATGGATTATAGAACGTTGCGCTGGAGCCAGCTTAGCTCAATCGGACGGAAAAGCTTTGTCTTCCGTTATTTTTTTATTTTTTATTATGTGTAAAATATCAATTTTATGTCGATTAATTTTAGCTAATTTACGTAGCAAAATTAATTAATAGCTTATAGGATATTCTGTTAATTAAAATATTATAATTAAAATATTATAATTAGAAAAGATCATATAATTTTTCACTTTTATAAAAAATTAAAGTTCATCGTTAAAAGGAACAAGTACAGTATCTTCTTTTAATTTTCAGGTTCTCATAACGACAAAAAATGAGTCCGTCTTTAAGATTGCGGTTCATTTTCATTTATCCTCGATTCCATCACATTTTGTATCATGTAAAGACAATCGCATTTCTTCCTGAATTATCAGCATTGATTAACTATCTCAAAAATTTCATCGATCTTTCGCCAATTCTGGTAAATCGTGGAACCTAAGATATAACATGGACGTAACACTCGGAAAGGTCTCGCGTCTCGTAGTATCGATAACGATCCCTCTTGCACCCTTGACTCAAACGGGTCGACGAAGTTGTCGGGTCAGCCGGGCGTTAATTATTGACACGGGCTCTCGGTACACAGTGTTCCAGGCAATGGCGAACCGGTGCATGTTCGCGGACCGTTCCAGAAACATGAATCTGTAGACGTTGTCCATACAAAACACGACGTTGGTCGTCAGGGAGTAAGAGGGTGAATCTAAGTTGGCCGAGATCGACGTCGGTGGAGAGAAGATAGAGAACGTACCAGACTTTCGAGGCTTGGGTCGCTGCTCAATGAGGGCAGCCCCGGTGATGCCTTAAGTGCGGATAATTCATCAAAGTCTCATTAGGCTAATGCCTTAGGGCCTGTATCTTGAATGATATTATCACGCCGAAGGTGGTGATTGCGCGTGATTGCAGAAGACATGAACTTCTCAGAGATTCTGATTTTTTTATAGAAAGGACATTCTCAGCAGTTACGAAGGAAAGATGACAAGCATGTCTTTTAAATTCTATTCCTTTTAATTAGGAATTTTTTAGCTTATTGTATTTCTTAATACATTTTCAATCTATTTTCAAATAAATAACATCAAGTGACGCAGATCTCGAAAATTTATTTATTTTTTTAATCTTTCGAGACACTGACGTTCTCGTCTTTCTGTACCTTGCAACAACGTCGCCGAACTGTCGAGAGACACTGTTTGTTCTAGACTTTAAAGCGCTAGCATGCAACGTCTTATCTAGTTTCCTGAAACTTTGGCTTATCTTTCACGTGACGTTCATTTTCTCTTATCCTGTGGATAAGAGATTGGAAAGGGCTGAAGGAATGCAACGTTACAAGTTTGCGACACATTTATATTTAACAGAATGTAAAAAGTTTATGTTAAAATATAAACCGATATTAATATTAGGGGAGACGAGAAAAAAATATTGAAAATAGAAAATGGCATTTTATATTAGAAAAGAATATACGTGTATTTTATTATATATTATGGTATTTCTGTTATATAAAACTGTACTTCTTTCTTTAATATTAACTTCGCGGCTATGTTTTTACCCATTTGATTTTTTTTTTAAAGTTAATTTGAATTTGCACATAGCTTTATATTTTTGTGAATAATTATAATTAATTACAAGTAATTTTATTTTTATGGTGACAATCCTCCCTCGAAAAAAGTCAGATTTATCTTGAAGAATCAGATTTAGCTAAAGTCAGCGATTGGATTAATTTAATTTAGACCCGCGATCATAATATTAATTATTTATATAGTATTTAAAAAAAATCATAAAACAAACGAAGTATACATGTTGTTCATAGTATATTAAAGCTTCTGTTAAATATTCATTTTTTTGTTTCAGTTGCTAGCGGAGCAGAAGAAGTTTAACGACGAGATACGACGCCAGTTGAAATTGCAGTCGGAGATACATGCCGATCATCTTCGAGAAGCACTTTTGGCCAAAGAGCAGGAAACGCAGAGGATGCTGCAACGCGCGCTCTTCGAACAAGCCGATGCCGACTCTATAAAATACAAAACACAGCTCGCAGAAGTAGTTGGAAGATCACGTGCTGTCACAGCAGCTCTTAAAGGTAAGTATGTATCATGTTTCTATGTTCCTTTTTCGAACTAGGAAGACTCAGTGTTTACCTTTTCGCAAGGAAAGTGCAATCGTAATTTATATTGCGTAAAAAAAATCTCAATACTGATTAAAGATTGTTAAGCGAATCAGGAAACGATTTGAAATATACTGTTTAATTTATTAAGATCGCTTGCCAATAATTCTCCGTTTGTAAATTACTGACAAATCTCGTAAGTCTTACAAGCAAATGTTCATGTGTCCATTGTATCGTTCTGTCGACAAATCATCTTTCGGGAAAATGCTTTCGCCTTTGTCGTCTTTGGCGTTTAATTGCAGGAGCAAAAAATACACTTGGTCTCTATAAAAGGCCGCGTGCATTCGCATCGATGTTGAGAAAGTGTCGACAACATTTTGAGACGCTTGATCTCCTCTACTGTTTGTCTTCTCCCAATCTCTTTGTCTTTTCAACGATAATGGACCTCTCATGGTTCTGAATCGAACCAAGACAGATTGAGTTTCTCCGTCGAATGTGTAGCGTTTGCGCGATCAGTATTGTTTGCTACTTGCAAACCCCCTGTCTTTCACCGAACCGGACATGTAACTTAGCTACGGATGTTTACGAAGGGAGAAAGATACGATCCTATAATTGTTCACGAAAGAGAAATAATATTAACAGCGTGGTCTTAAAGTTGTTAAATCGATGGGCTATTACATCTAACAGAAAGAAAAGACAATAATATAGATAAACAAAAATTTGACAAAAGTAATAATATTTTTTAACTCTATAATATTTTTTTTACATTGCTGCCTTATTTCAAAAGTCACACGACTAAAAAATATGATTTTTTAATTGTGAATGAGTAAATAATCATGAGTAAACATAACATTACCTTATCAGTTATTAAAAGTGAATTAATTTAACTTCATTAACATAAACGATCGTAAAAATCACAACTCTAAAAAAATGATTTTAAGAAAGTCGTCAAAATTATGACAAGTAAAAAAGGTTTTTTTTAAAAATTGTGAAACGAAAATGATAAATACAACATTTATTCGTATTAAGAATAAATTCTTTTTGCTGATTATTTGATCAAAAATTTTCAAATGGAAATTTCCTGTCTTCTGGAAAAGTCTTAATTTTTTAAGGTTACTTTTGAAGCAAGGAGACGATATAGATATTATTTATATTTGATTGTAATATACATATTGCATGCGTCTTAATAATTCTTACGAAGAATATTTGAAAGAGGAAATGTATTTTTTTTTTAAATACCGTGGGAAGTTTCTGAAAGTTATCTATAATGACGCCATTGAAAGTTATACTGTTGCTGTTTATCGAATGTTGAACGAAACTTGCTGAACTTCGACAAATGAACGAAGTTTTATTGGGTATACATTTACAACTTACACTTACACTTGTGAGTTCTATTATTTTACGGTAACTTTCTAATCCGCGTATGAAGCATACATTCTGAGACGCGCCTGACCAAAGATATTACAGAATATGTGTTTATCTTTTCTAGTTTTACTGATAGTAGAAGGGCTACTAGAGTTTAATCCGGATTAACTCTGTTCGAGTTTAATACACCGAACGGCACCAACGGTTTCCCTTATCGTCATTGCCTGCACTCTTCTATATCCGACCAATCGAGATTAATTTTCGATTAACAAATCTCGCATATGATATATACTCATTGCACAACGCGCATGTCGATAACTATCTTTAATTAGTTTCCGTTCGAGTAATTTTCCGGTCACTGAATAGATTACAAACGCGACACGTTATCGATACTTCGCGCTCATATCCTCACAGGCGTTATTATTGAAAATCGTTGTCCATTTATGGAAATTTTTTTTTTTTCCTTTTTCAATGGTCCCCTCTCCCAAAGAGAATTCGCGTTTATTATCTGAGCATTATCGATTATTATCTAATTAATTATTATTTAATTAATTTACAATTTATTTTTGTAGATATTTCTCCTAGTAAAATGTCCCCGATGTTTAGCTTATTCTATGATATATATATTAATTATTGTAACTCAAAGGGAGAACGAAAATAGAAAGGATTTTTTAATATCTTTTATTCTTTGTATTCTGCAAGTACAGAATGAATTTTGTTGGAATTCATTGCGATTTTCGACAAACGATTTACATCGAGGCGAAAATATAATACTAGCACACTGCAAACTATCGAAATATTTTCACTGCACCGTTTCTCATCGAGTTTCTCGATTAAAACGTTCTAATTTCTCAGTGATCTACCGATGCTTATAATTATTGTCCTAATTGCGGATTGTTTCTCGAAGTGTCTCGGAGTGTCATCGGATTCGACCAGGATATTTCTGACTAATACCGGCTGTTCTCGCGGAAACACTTTTCGCTCGTTAATTAACTTTGTCCAACAAGCGGACGGAAGTGTAGATAGAGATTTCCGGGAGGAGAAGAGCGAATGAAAGAAACGCATGGAATACGGTGCTCACCACTGCATAATATCCATTATCCGGCGAGTAGTTCTGCGTTTAATTTAGCGAATTACGTTGTTTTACCAACGTGCTTGCTACTGAAAATTCAGAAGCAGCGGGCTGCATGAACAGGAGAAGAAGTTAATAAAATGCAACTTCCTCGAAGGATCGTAAGATACAGACAAGAGTCTCAAGGGGAAAAGTATGAGATCCGTTATTTATTAATCCGCGTTGTGAGGGCGTGATAAAAATAAAGATATTATTGACTTTTCGCAAGCATCTCATGAGAAAAAGTATGACAAGGACAACAAGAGAAAAAAGATAGTTGTTCTTTCTTTTTTTTTCTCTCTCTCTATTTCTCTCTCCTTCTCTCTCTTTTGTCAATCGCTTCTGCGACGGCGGTGGCACAGGAATGTATTTCATGAATAGAAATTAGCAATAAAAAGATGGCATGAAAAGAGATGAAGATAGAAGCGTCGAGGTGTAAACTTCTAGATTTCAACGTGGGCGATGTTGTGATAGCACGGCGGTTGGGTTGATAATGTTCGGTATCTCGGAGAACCGCAAGGAAAACGGCAGAAGAGATTTTGAAGCTTTATATATAAAGTGACGACTTTTATGAATTTATGTTTGAATTATGTTGTTAGATTATGTTTTGGAAATCCATGCAAAGTTTATCGCTATCATTCTACTTATCGAATTTGCTATAAATATAATGATAGCAATATTGCGTGGATCTGGATTTTGACCTGTATATATTTCCGAGCAAATCTGAATCATTTAGCATTTATTTTATGATTATTTATCGAAATAAAAATTAGAAGTTTTTACTTATAGAAGAGAATGAGGAAATTGTGAATACAAGGGGTAACGCAAACTGTTGCAATATATTAGTGTACTTAGCATTAGCTTCTCATTTCTCGCACATGCAATAATACTCCGATATTATTACTGCCACTATTTCGACTTGCAAGGTGATGCTTTAATGACATTAAAGATGTCATTAAAATATTTATTAAAACGTCACTTAACATCCTTGTCACTTCGGATACGTAATTATAGAACGCAATTATAGATACGCTGTTTAACGTAAATATCATTATACATTTTCGATAGTTTTTATGTAAGGGAGAGCGAGGAAACTATGAATATTTGAAAGAAAAGTTAAATAATGTCGACAACTATTTATCAATTATATTAGAAGTTATTCAAAAATTTATTTTTAAAGATTATTTGGTTTAAATTACAATAATTAACATTTATATACTATTATTAGTTCTGTTCGCATTGCTTAAAATCTCAAAAAAATTTTTTAAATGAGATAAATATATATTCGGTTGAAGAGAGAGAAAGAGAAGATGCTGAGTATAGAAAGTAGCAACACGAACAGATCTCTAATGTGAATTATAGGTATAAAGTAAAACTCATTTACATTATCTCTGCGAGTGATAAGTAATTTCGAATGACAAAGATTTTGTTTTCTATTTAGATTGATAATACATGAGTGTTAAACTTCTGCCAGCAACGCGGACTTTTTATAAAGGCATTGTCGATTTTTTGACGATGAATTCTGATAGATAAATCTGTAAAAAATAAGTACAATCTGATTTCCATGATGATAAAAATTCGTTGGTAAAGCTTTGACAAATACGTCAAAATTTTTTCAGATTTTAATCCGAAACAGTAAAAAAAAATTGCTCTGTTTTCTAAGACCCTTATTGCTGACGGAAAAGTTAAAATTCAATTGTCAATAATATTGCCGGCAGAGGACAATTAATTATTACATTTATTAGTTTTAAATCCAAATAACTGAAGTATCTCCTTTAAATAAGTCCTTTAGACTTCTACAATTGATGCTAAATAATCATCTGTTTCATTTAACTTAGGTGTTCGCAATTCTCTCAGTCACCCCTGCAAACGAGTGAAAGTGATGTAAACAACAAGATGAGATGTATATTTTTCTCTAGTCGCGTTATAGCCCGCTTTTCGGACGCAAAATCTTAAGATTATCTTAAGAAATCTTAAGATATATGAAGATAAGTACTCGACTTATCGAGTACTTGAATAATTAGTAACTTGAATAATTATGTAGTAAGAATATGGATTTGTGCCTGTTTCTACCAATAGATTAACTTTAATCTCGTTCAACTCTTTATCTTTTTCTCATTAGAACTAGAAAAGATGAAGAATTAGCTGAATCTAGATTAAAATTAAACTATTGGTAGAAACGAGCATAAATGTTATGCTCCTTTAATGTACAATTTAAACGTGATATAAAGGCAGTCACGCAAGGTAGTTGAAATGGCAATAAAATGAATGAATGAAGATGAAAAACGAGTGAGATCGTAGGTCGCGGTTATCAGCTTGACAAACCGACTAACACATGCGGCGTGTGCTTCAATTATAACTTCTGCCATACGTCTCTCGCGGGCGCTATTAAAGGTCAGTACTACGACGTCGAGTGTTGGGTGGTGAAGGGAAAAAGTGATAGCCAACGGCTATGACTGTTCACGTATATCGAAAAACGCGGCTGTATCTCGCACTTCCA